AGTGGGTTGTTTGTTTTTAATTAAAATCACTCGCAACCCCATTTCTAGTTCTTTCCTTTTTTCACGACAGTCTCTAGATACATCTAGAACACCCTCTTTCTCTCTCTCTCTCTCTCTCTCTCTCTCTCTCTCTCTCTCTCTCTCTTGAACACTTCAACGGGTGGAGTTCTTAATTTTCAATTATCCCCTGCTACTTTTAATTAGCTATACCTCTTTACTTTAGAACTGCTACCCTACGGCTTTTAACGGCATCCCCCTTATCCGCAGCCACTTTCAATATACTACAAAAGAATAAAGGGGTGCATTCCTAAGAGGTCCGAATATCACTGAATGCAGTGTACATAGGAATTTGAAAAGTGAATGGAATACGAAGCTGCCGTTACCAGAAGCAGCAGCAGCAGCAGCCTGGCCAGTAGTACAGGCAGACATTAGATACCAAGTTAAAAGAATTTTCCGAGATGAAATCGCCGAGAGGAAAGTTTTTTCCTGGGATAAAAAAAAAGAGAGAGAGAGAAAGTCAGGGAGAAAGGGTGTAACGAGGAATACAGGATATTTTGCTAATTATTCCCCGAAGCATCATTTCGCTCAGTGACAAATGCAAGAAACCTCTATATTATTAAGCTCATTAGAGCATCCAGGTATAAATGCAATTTATAGCATTAACCCAAGCAAAAGTCGGAACCGCCATGCTTTTTCTACTTTGGACCCTTCACCACTCCGTACAATTTCTATTGTGCATGGGTATCCGTGTTTTTAATGATTCCTGAATACCCCCGACGTTTCTCTCTCTTTCGCTCTCTCTATCTCTCTGCTCACTCTGTCTCCGTCCTTCTACCTATCTATCCAGATATCCCCGTCGCCTTACCTATACCACCTTCGTACTAACGTCCCCAGCATAAAGCATTATGAAAACACGTTCCTACACAGAAGACGATTGTCCCGTTGTCCATTCGCTACGTTCAATTGTCGCTGCTTTTCATTTGATAAAACTCAGCGACGTTAACCGGAAGTACTCCCTTTTTTCAATTATAAAACCAAAACCAGCAGCTCACTCTTTCAAATCGACAGTGGCCTCAAGTGCAATGGCGTCGTTGACTATTCTTGGGAAAATCGAAAAATGCATTTTCGCGCAGCCAGACAAGTGGATGCTGTAACAGACACGTATGGTACATACGGCACGTATGGACCAGAGAAAAGCTTTGCCGTGCGATTAATGCAAAAAGGAAATTAAATGAACGTTGAGCTGCATTACCTAACCTTTATGCAAATAAAGTGCAGAAGAGAATAATCGCACCTAGGCGCGTCATTCCTCTTGTAAAATATCACTCGGATCTGTTTACGTCCTACGAGCATTTAGATTTGACGAAAAAAAAATTCCTGATAATGGATGCTGCCTGTACCGTGATTTTCACGTCGGTTAATACCGCAAGGAAAGTTGGGATAAAAGTGGAAAAAAAAATGAAGTATGCACTACAGGACGAAAACACATCCATCAATATGTTTGTCATGGGAAGGAAGTGCCGGTGTCACCGTATACGCAATATCTGATAAGCGATAAGCGATTCGGAAATTCGAGGGATCGGTTAGAAAATTGAAAAAAAAAAAAAAGGGTAAATCTCGAGCGGAAAAAAATCGTAGCCGCAAAAAAATTTCGTAAAATTCGTGAGAATGTGGAATTTCGAAATCACGTAATTCGATTTCCTTTCGGGAACGAAAGTTTCGCCTTGTCTACAATGGCTCTTATTAATTAGCCGCGTTATTTTCCCGTCCGTGTCTCTAATTGCTACGCGGGAATTCGATGCAAATTCATCGCGAGTCAGGCGCGTCAAAACTTTTCGAAAGTGCTTTTGGGAATTGCCAGAAGGACTTTCTGGAATTCGCGACTGTTCTCGTACATGGGTCTCTTACCCTCTGCAACGAATGTTCGTCCTGGTTATGTTTCCTAGGGAGTTTCGAATTTATTACTTTTATTTTCCCCACCGTCGAAACAAACCGCGACAGCCATTCGAGACTTAGCGAAACATAATAGACGGCGATGTACGCCCGTGAGACATTGGAAAATATGAGGAATATTAGAACCGAGCTTAAACGTTGAATTTCTCTATAAACGTCGGAGAACTTGAATTCCGTCGGGCCGACGATGAATATGAGGACGTCGAAGTTTCCTTACGTAACAATAGGCAACGGGACAGATTTCCAGTCTCCGGACAGGCAAAGCCAGCAGGTATCTACTTAGTTCCTGTAGCAGAGCTTCGAGTCCTGGCGAAACTCTCAAATGCGATTTGCATTAAGCAGATATTATGCAGATGTCTGTCAGTGGTTCGCTATTCTACTGCACGTGCACCTTGCACCTGCGCCTGCAGCGCCGCAACCCCCTATACAATTTACATAAGGAATCCACGTTCTACAGCCGGACGATACGTGAACTAGACACGTTAAATCGAAATTTTCAAACGTTTCATCGTTCTCCCAATCCCACCCTGTACAATGCAATTTTACTAATACGAATTACCCACCTTCTCCTTTACAATATTGATTTTCCCTAATTCACCTTTTTTTACAGTCAAAATCAAAAACTCAGCACGTCCAGTTAACTGGCAGTACGACGTAGTATCTGCTATGGCCGTAATGAACATTTTTAAAAATCAGAAAATTGCAACGTAAAAGTGGTTCCATTTACGAAAATTAAGGGTAATCGGTGAAATTACGCAAATTTCCATGGATGCACGAATATTACGAGCGGCGGGTAGATTTTATACGGTGATAGCATTTGACAGCGTGGCTGGTCTCTGCAGCTAGACTTTGTACGTGCGTAGATGCGGAAGGAACGACTATGCGTGTGTTATATATATATATATACGCCATACGTAACCTAACGCGTTACAACGTTACAGTATTACAGCTGCATATAATGCACAGGCACAATTCCACAATTTGCTACATGTTTGATTATTCCATGGAAAAATAGTAGCTCGTTCCTATTCCAGCATCGCTCCAGCAGATTCTACCGTTCCACTTCAGTCTTCTCGTTTCCCATGGACCGCCATCATACCCTTTGGCAGCATCCCGTATTTCCAAACGATATCACGCGACACTTCTATGTATGTGCATATCGAGGCATATCATCCACCTCCCCTCTTGGCCCCTCGTACGTCGCTATCAGCCAGCGTTGATATGCAAGTCTGAGGTCTAAATTTAGTCAGGTAGGTATAAACGCTGGCATAGGAAAATTTACGAGGATGCAAGAGCGGCTTTAAAATCTCGAGGATTTAACCCGGGAATTTGAAAAGCGATAAAAAGGCTTGATAAAAATCCATCTCTTTGATTATATCCGATAAACTTGCAGTGGGGTGGAAAAAAAAAATTTCTCAAAAAGTCAAACGCGACCCAACGGAATTCCCAATTTTTATTTTCCTCTTTTTCACCTGATTTTTCCAAACGTATCCAGTCCCGTGTTAAAAAAAAATAGTCGCGGGCAATGAATAACGACTATGCAATCCCGATGCACCGGATCGGCAGTGCACCGGTTCGAATCGAAGGCTTCGATGCACTCGGACGGATATCAATTTTCCGAGTAAACAGCTCGACCGATGGTCATATTTACGCGCTGGGGATATAGACAATACACTGGGGCAATATGTATATAAAAAAAATAACTAAAATGCGAAAAAAAAATAACGCAGCATCCCAATCGAGGATTCATGGGAAACGATCGAGGACTTTTAATAAAACTGTTTGTTCTATCTTCCGAGAAGATCGGAGAGAAGGACAAGGTGCATTTTCATTTCTCGAAATTAACGTGTTTCCTTTCAGCCGCGAAGCACAAAGCCTCGCGAAACCATTTCAACCACTCGACGTTCTTCTGGTCGAGATGCTGTTAAAATAATAAGCAGCTACGTGAGTTGAGAGTTGAGAGTTGAGAGTAGCTAGAATCTCGTGTCGTTACATTGTAAACGCCAGGATTTGATGCCACAAGCGGAATCCAACGTTTACGCTGGGCTTTGTCGGCCGTACAGCCAGCAACAGCAATAGGAGGTACCAGACCGTATATCTATAGCTATTACTATTGTAGAACATACAGTAGCCACGTTTAAAGCGGCAGTCAGTGCTGCACAGTTTAATAATGTATTATTGGAGGAATTTTGAGGTTTCCCGAGCTCCATGAATATCAAATATAATTTATATACATTTAATACGTTAAATAGTTTTACATCTTTTATATCTAAATTTCGCTGTTATCGCATTCTCAATTCCTTGTTAAATTCATTTAAACTATACTCTCCTTTCTCGACTATACCAACTTTATATAGTATCGTGCATTTCTGCTTGCATCCAATTGCACCGTATTGCTACCGTACCAGCGTAGCTCTGTCGATGGTTGTTTGCCACCGAATTCGCGGTCCAGACAGGACAAACATGGAGTCACGGTTCAGGATGTATAAAGTGCATTAAAAATCAATTGCACTCCGATGCACGTAGGAAAATCCAAATTCGCCCGATCCGCATCGTTTGGGGGTGCGGACGTCTTGGATGATTATTATTATTTTCACAAGGGCTGTAATAATTGCTAGGTCGATCGAGGGATCGGGGGTGGCAGGGATATGGCTAAATCTCACGGGATGAGTATCCATGAGGTATTCAGCATCCCTTAGGTACACGATGAGGAAACCTGTGTATTCTCATAGGTATATACATATATGTCCTTGCTAGCCAAAAAAACTTTCTCGGAAAGTAAAGTCATACGAATCGAGCAATCTAAGTTAAGTGAGCTCCCAAGAAACGTCCGAAAGTTCCTCCTACTTTCCTACCCTTCCAGGAGGCATCAACCCCTTAGTGGACCCAACCAATTCTAACTGTCCCGAATTTATACTCAACCCCTGGAGGCTATTCCCATTTACGTGCGAAATTTCAGCACGATTTATAGCAATTTTATGTTATTCACTTTTGTCCCTGCGATAGGCACGAAGTGTACTTCGTACCTGTATACGTGTATGCGAATTTTATAAGTTGCGAAAATTATTATTCATTTAAAAAAGTTTGCGGATTTCCTTGAAAAGTTTTGCTTGGCATAACGTACTATACTGTAGTACTGGGTATGAATCATGGGGTTGTAAAACGATATCATCATTAGACACTATAGTCTCTGGGGGTTGTAGGGTGGTTGCCTGACGTCCACCCATACGAATTCCGGTCGCATATGACGGAAAGGATGGAACAGCTATTACAATTTTTACTGCCTAAATGCTTGTCGTTGTTTTGAATTTTTTTTATCTCTCCATGATAAATGTATACGTACGATTAATATCGTCTCGCATAATTTTTGGAGTAACATAGAAACGATCTTCCCCAGTTTTATACGTTATCGCGCGATTAATGACTCTCTGGTTTTTTTATTTACTTTTTTTCTTCTCTCTAGCTCGTTTTCTCCTTGTAGAATATGAATTTACATTACTGTATATCTGTACTGTGTAATATTTATGAGTATTCGTCTCGTGGATGTTAATCTGTTGCTTTAATTAATAGACTCTTCCGTTTTCACGAGAACGATGTAATTATTATGGGGAGATTAAGGTACGTAGGGAATTTTGAAAAAGATTTAAATGACTCACCGAGTAGTTTCATCACCTGAGACTGACTGATGAATATATTGAGGTATCCATCGCTCAGTCGAATCAGGATGAAAAATATTAATTTGAAATACAGAAGGTTGCAGAACCTTCCAAACTGCATTGTCACATGCTTCGTTTCACCCACCCACTGCACCCTTTCACCTATTATCACCTGATTGCAACATTTCACAATAATACGTAAGATCGCTTATATGACTTACGAGTAAGAGGAAAAAGTCGAAAAATTTTTTTTTTTCAAAAAATGGATTTTACAAAATTTTTTTCGATTTCGAATTCGGCAGATTTCATCGCGATACAGAATATCTCGGTCGTTCGTTAATCGCGTAAGTTTACTCGGAATCGTGAAAAATGTTCCGTCACGTGTGTATAATTTTTTGCAAAATTTTTCGCGGTATTAATTTTTTTTTCAAAAATCTCAATTTTTTCCTGCAGCGTACTATGCGCGATTTTTGGGAATTATTAACGCGAATACGTCAGTCACATGGCGCCTCGTGATGTGGAGTTCATGAATGACGTCAGTCGACGGAGGAACGGCGTCGTCGACGTCGACGTCGGGACGCGACTAAAACGACGCCCGCAATCGCTTATCGGGCGAATGCTTTTAGCGCAGGCGCTTAGAAAGGCGCCAAGGCGTACCGGCAAATGACGGAATTTCCGGATACTTAGAGTCGGAGCCTTCCGAACCTCGAGTCTATCTAATCGCGTCTCTATAGGTCACACAGCCATTTCTATGGTACTATTTCCATGTATAATAGATTAGAAATTCGAAATGCAAAGGATTTTTCGATGCGACTTAATGCCAATCGAAGAGGATAGAATTACACGTAGAAAACCATAGCAAAGGTTTCGTCGATCTCGGCCTCTTTCATGTCTTCTTTTAATTTTTTTTGTTTTTTTTTTTTTCCTTTCCGAATTAGATCACGCATAGGAAGGACTAAGGTCAAAGGGGCGCGCCTGGAAATGGATATTCCGAAAACGGATATCGGAAAGGGATGACACGGGATATATATATATACACACATATATATATATATATATATGTACACGATAGATGGTATAGGATGAAAATAGTGAAATGGAAGCAAGAGTGAGAGAGAGAGAGAGAGAGAGAGAGGTTAAATTTCGTAAAGGGTAGAAAAGGTGAAAGCGAAATGAAAGTGCGACGGGTTAACATGAAAATTCCGGAACGTCGCTTATATTAATTTATCGTGCTTTGTGCCTCTTTCAGATTTTCAATCAAGCATCGGACCGGATTCGAAAGCAGTGCCGTCGTTTGAAAATGGTCGAATTTAATTAAATGGGCCTCCGAACCTCCAGATCCTCCCTGACGCGCCCTCTGACCCCCCGACCTCCGCCTGTTATCCCACACCACTACACGTGACGTCCTGCCAATGCCCCATGCAGCGCTACAGACCAGTTTGCCAGTTTCACAATTTGATCTTCGGGAGTTTAGCTTCGGCTCGTTCGTTGTGAACGGGACTTTAATTGAACTGGGAGATTAATTAACTCCCTCAAATCCGTACGAAGCGACAGGAATTTCATCCCCGCGATTTCGGAATTGTACGAGACCAGCATTCTTTTTTACTATTTATTTCATCCCTTTCCACGGGGCTAACCGACCCCGGAGCATCGGACTTTCCACCTGTCATTTGACAACTGACAGAATTTCCAAGTTAAAGACTTTCCATACCTATTAAATATAAGTAATTAGACCGTGCTAAATTACCATCAGCCCACGGGCTCTGAATTGGGTTCCTTATAAATCGCGACGATGATAAGTCAGATTCCTGTAATCGGTAACGCCGAAAGGATAAAACGCAGAGACAATTAGAGAGTGAATTTATTTAATTAACAGTCTAAAAAACCACGCGGAATTTGCTGGGGGTCGAAGGAAAATAAAACAATGGCAAAGAAGAGGGAAGAAAACAAACGAACAAACAGACGCGGCAAAACTAACGAGGTCCTCGAGACGGCAGGCAGCCTGCTCGCTCCAATCAGCCAGATCATTAACTCAAATAATTAATAATGATTGGAAATCGATAGCGCGCTTCAATCATATGCGCATCTGTGCGCGAGGATCGCATCACGCGGACACGGAGTATATTTGAAAGGCATGATAATTGGCCAGAGGCAGATTTCAACTAACGTGTGCAAAAACGTGCCACTCGCTCTGTCACATTGCCAGTCGTCGTTATACCGTACAAGACTTACAAGTGTAGATTTCCAGTCGATCCCAGTGACGTCATTTTCATTTTCACTAATTTCAGTAAACGTTGCTCCACGAACCCGTATCCAGAACCCTAGTCTAAATTGTAAAAATTGCTGGTCAAAATTGTAAAAAAAAATTTTTCAAAAATCATTCCCCAATGGCCGATCGATTTTCTCCTGCACGTGCCAGTCCCAATGGAATTCCATAGACTGACAATGGCATATCCCACGACAGAAACGTACACAGCTTTATATACATACATAGAACAGAGTCGAGACGATACAATTCCAAGCGTCGCGACGCTTTGTTTCATTAGGCGATTGTCGATCGTCCGAGCGGATATTATGGAAATGTATTCAAAGGACGGGGATTGGATTTGATTCGCAAATCAAGCAAGGCCGCATTAAAAGTCCATTATGCCAATGAGATGCTCGTTATGCTTTTCACGACCTGGGATTAATTGACGCAAGACAAAAATCACGGGCTGTGAATTTTACCTGATTTGCAAAAAAAAAAAAAAAAATTATTTTCCATCAAACAAATAACATCCGATACAGCCCCATAGGAAATTCATGATTTATTCCCACATTACTCCCGACCCCTGTCTCGTCCAACCCCAACAATCGTTTAACCCTTCTTTAACGCAAACTACCCCGAGATCATCTTTGATTAGTTTCGGTAGCCATTAAATGACCGAGTCCAGTCGGCCGCCCCTATTAGCTGAAACGGACTATATGTAACTACTATTATTTTCCCACTACGTTCGATACGGCTGTATAACGAGCTGGCACAGATATAGGTATATCAGTGCGTATAAAGTAAACGCGACGTTTCGCAGTGCCTCGTAGTCTTACTATAGTCATACTTCGATTGGAATGCTGTCTGTTAAAGATAAGGGTAGCTACCCTCCCCAAGGGAAGAAGGCACAATATGCTTTGCCACAGCGAAACCTATGTTCCCCTATACGTCGACTATTCTCACCACTGTTACACATCGACATACACCCCTTACAGCTACGCCCAACGTCCCCCCCCACCACCACCACCCCCCTGAAGTATAAGGGAGGCTCGGTTATATTAGGGGTGGTTTACACAGGGAGGTTTCTTATCGTCGCGAGCCACATTGGCTAAACAGCCGAAAATACCATTCGGCATTTTGTTTCACGAATCGCGGATGCGATAATTGCTCCTCGCGCTGGTTAAGATTTTACCATTGATTCCCGAGGGGGTAGTTTTTTTTTGCCCGTTTTCATTCATCCCTTAGCCCTGATTACAGGATAGCTATCGGTGTCTCTCTCTCTCTCTCTCTCTCTCTCTCTCTCTCTCTCTCTCTCTCTCTCTCTTTTTTTATTACTCGTTTCTCAATCTGTGCTCTTCTTTTTTTTTTCCAATTTTTTGTTTCAACAGCAATGAACGGCATCAGTGCAATTGACATTTTTCGAATGGGAATGCGATGTATGACGAATCAAAATTCCTGACCCCTCGTGTTTGCCGGAATCGGGGATCGAATCGTGTACCGATTTTAATTGGCGACCCACGTCCGGAATAGACGTTTAATTGGACGGATGAAAATTGTTCGGCTATCGCTTCTACTACCGTACTAGTTTTATGTGTACGAGGGTATAGTGTTTAAGGTATATATGTATATAACGTATATACTCGTACCAGGGATATATTAATATAGAAGGGAACGGAAGGATCCTTCCTGGAATGTTACCTTCGCATATTTCGAGTCACTCGTGAACCTTTGACCTTTTGCTTCCAGCATTCCTTTTGGGTCATTTCTATTAACACCCTTACTTTACAGTACTTGACTTTACTGTATTATAGTTCAATGTGTGTATATAGATATTTGGAATATCCTGTTCTCAGTCCTTTCTCGTTTGGACCTCATAGGATGTGAGATTGCACGGCTGAATCTTACCGGTAGGGGCTGAGAGCAGGGGTGGTGTTAATATTCAGGGCGTAAAATCGTAATATAAAAATATGAGGGATTAGTATAATATTCCGAGGCCAACTTGCCTTATCTTAAGGGATGCTGTTATTTTCGGTGATTAAGGACCGCGGGAATAATGATTTTGGCCGTATGAAAATTTATTCGCGGGGATGATAACGGGAGTGGCAATGGATGATAGTTCTTTCTTATCCAAGTATCGTTAACCGATGAGAATCACTGTGCTCTGCGATATCGTGTAAATCGTGATCCTGTTTTCATGGAAAACAAAGCGATTTGACGGTATTAAATTAATAGGGGCGATTCCGTGGGGACTGTTTGCCAGTAAGCCTCCCTGCGTGACTTCCGTTAGGAAGGTTGGCTTACTTCCGTCGCGGACCAATCACGACGAGCAAATACTTCTAATATAACTATTCGAGAATACTGGGAACCCCCGGTTCGCCTTTCATGGAATTAATAAATTTTTCATTTTTCTTTTCCAAAAACATCCCCATAACCCTTCTAATCAGTGTTCTAGAAATTGAAATTAATTTTCTTTATCAGTAAATTCCTCTGTGTCGAGTTCCAATGCTATTCCACTAAAATTACATATATCCAGGCAGAATATCCAACTAGTGTATTTCTCTATGACAATAAAACCCGAAAGCGCAGATCCACCCCTAACGAATCCAAAAAGTATGAAAAAAATCCGTGTACGGAATACCTTGAAAAATATTTGAAACTGTAAAAAAAGGGATTGAAAATGACAAAAAGTAATACTAACTGTGTATAATAATTATATAGAACGAGATTTATCATAAAGTAAATTCCATTGAAATTAACAGAAGCGTGTATAGTAGCAACGTAATAAAAAGAAAATCCAGGATGAGTAGAAAAAAGAAGAGCAGGACCAGGTTCAGGAACATGTCCCTGAGGGTGGCAATACGTAGGAGTCGGTTGGATTTGCCCAGCAGGATCCCAAACCGGATGAGGGGATGGATTCGGCGGGATCGTATTCGTTGAATGCTGAGAGTTGGTACTGCGTAGAGACGTACCGACTATACCAAGTCGAGCTTTTACGATCTCTTGGCTCGCAAAATTTGTCTGGATGGCATCGCGGCCGCGTTGCTTTACTTGCTTTACTTGTTTTACTTGCCGTCATCCCCAGCCGTGCTCTTCTGGCAGTATCCACTGCGCAATGGAGATGGAGCGACAGGAAGTAGTAAAAGAGTCGGGCCAAGCCAGTTCAACTTCAACTACCCACTCAATATATATATATATATATATATATATATATATATATATATATATATATATAAGCTATATGTCTCTCTCCTAACCATAGTACAGAGTTTGTCGCCATTCGACACGATAGACGTTGATCCTGCGATGCTTGCAAATCCGTTTCCCGTATATCTCATGCAAACACGACTAAATCCGTTGTAGCTACCAGCATAGACTACAGTCCAGAGTCTGGAAGTCTGGAAGAGCCCCCGCTGAACCCAAAGAGGAAAGATGTTAGGAAATGAAAAAAAGTAAGAAAAAAAAAAAGAGAGAGAATAAAAGAAAAGCCACCGAGAACCAGACCAGTCATTTGTATCCTCACGTTGACTGGATAAAAGCTGTCCTGTCATTCGTATCCACCCCTTTTCAAAGATCGCACTGCTCGACATTGCCGACCCCTTGACCCTGCAACTTTTCGTCATTCGGTCAGGGTTTCCCAAAGATTTATTATCTTATCGAGCCCTCGCTTCTTGGCCTCTTAGCTAGTAGAAAATACGAAGAAACGAAAAGCTACTTTTTATTCTATTAGCTATTCTTTGTCTTGATTCCAGACGATACCGAGTGGCTGGTCGAGCTTTTTTTTTAAGTATAGACTGATAAGGCACAGGTTGACCTTTGACCTCGGTACGTCGATACCGTCCATGGACGAAAATTGGCTTCAGGTCGGTCGGGATGAAACGCGTGACAGTTGGCGAAACGTGGAATCAAAAGTGACGATCGGCGCCGAGCGTCGGGGGCCTCGAATAACGTGGGTATCTCGGGGCTTCGCTCTATGATAATTGTTATGGCGGACGGGAGCTGTGGAATGGAGTGATGATAATCACTGTCGGGATAGTCATTCGCGTTAGGTTGGCTGCCATCGTAAAATTAACATGAACGCGACATTAGTGAGAACGACGTGCAGTTCGAGTCTAACGGCTCGTGAATGAGTTATTGTTCCCGTGGCAGAGACGTCTCGTTAGGATTTCACTGTGCAAATTGGATTGGCGTATAGAGAAGTGGCTAGGGATATCTAGTGACTTTTAATGCCACTCAGACTCTTTTTCGGTGAAAATAAGACGGGGGTTTACGAAGTTTTTCCAAGTTTGAAACTTTATGGGTGCCATGGGTATTGCTTGTTTGTATATGGGGAATCTTGTGGCTCCGAGTAATACGAGGCAGGTGTCGCCCACTTTACCGTGAAAAATCCCTAGAAAAATATTTAATAAACTAAGCTTGTAACTAGCCGGATGATCCTTCAATTTCGTTCTGGAATATCCTTTGGAAGCAGGCTGGCTTCCTCTTGTGGGTGGGCGAAATAGGGTCACGATTTAATAAGACGCCACCCCCTGCCGAACGCTTAGTAACTTTGGCAGCGACTTTGATTAGCTAGGGAATCCTGCTAATGACAGGGGATCGACCCGCGTTTAATCCTATATATTCAAAAGTCCCTAGAACCTTTACGTAGCAAGAATGGAGGGTTATTTTATCGAAAGGGATTTAACCTATATATATTTACTATAGGCGTTCCTCTCTGTAATAATCCTGTAGGATCCAGCCATTTTCTGCCACTCTGATAACTTACCTATTATTATCTATCTATATATACGTAGCTATCTTACTTCAAAAGCACTCTTATCAATAGTTCACTGAGAAAGAATCTTATTTCCTATCCAGCACGCCAATTGGATGAAGCTTCGAATTTCAATCGATAGACCGCGAAAAAAAAGCTCATCCACTCGAAGTGCTTTCCATTGGTCGGGCAGAGTCTGCGAGAAAAAAGGACTCCAGAAGATGGTGGTTAGATTTTATGTTTATCTTTATTGCCGGAACGAGGCGAGAGTTTTCGATTGGCTGGCTAGTTTGGGCCAAAGGTGGCCGAAGATTGCCGAAGATGGCCGAGCGTGCCCACTTGGGTTACGAATATATTCGAAAGCGCTCTTATTCATTTGTACGTAATAATAATAATCGGTACCAGTCGGCCGAACTTTCCCGAAGTTAACCAAAGATGCATTTTATGGTATCTTTATCGAAGGATTTTATTGGCCGAGTAATATTTTTACAGCCGAATATGATTTTACGGTGCCATCTTTCTATTAACGTCACTGTACATTTATAGGCTCCAGGGATCTCGTATTTATTCTTTGGATAACGAAGTAATTAAAGAATATCATTGGTTCAAGACTTTATGGTCGTTTCTGGGGAATTTGATCTAGGGGGAAAAAAATCTCTATGACTAATTCTTATTACTTTTATCAGTGTACGAAATTTTCCTTTTGGGGTTATGTTTTTATGTATGGAATGCAATTTTCCTCTATCTCGTCCAGTCAGCAGCGCTGATCCTACCTCGTGCAATTATAGGACCAAAAAGGTATTTTCCTCGAATATAAATAGAACTTTTTACATTATGTTTATATAGCAATCTATTTTCACATTGAGGTCGTACGGGACGCGGGCTTTTGGCGAAATTTGAATTCCTTTATTAAATCGTCCTGCATTCTCCAGACACTATATATCATACATGCAATTATACCACACACTGCACGCACTGCGTACTAATTCAAGGTATATTAAAAGCAGCGACAGTAATCGTATACGTATGAAAAAAATATATATATAAAAAATACATGGAAAAGTGAATTTTTAAAATTAAAAAAAAAAATCTCTTCCAAGGCTACGCCAATGCATACGTGCTGGAGCTACGAAAATTGAGAGTAATCGAACCTCTTTGCCAGACGTAATTCCTCATTTTGGCCAAGTTTCACGTAGCCCATGACAGATCCCATTAATTTGTCACATTCTCCAAAGACACTCAAAGTGACTGAATGAAAGGAAAACGTCGTAGCCAGTCGGAAAAGAATGAAAACTCATAAGTTTTCCGATATTCGCGTAAAGATTCGTGAGAATGATTTTTAAAAAATAATTTTGAAAAAATGACAAATTTTTTTAATCCCTCTCTGCCCAACTAACAATATTTCAATACCTATTTATAAATCGTCAATGGATCTTTAGGACTATCGCATATGTGCAACTTCACGTTCTCCTTATCAGATAAAAGTTTCCTAGTAGATTTTTCCATTCCCAGAATTCCCGCAATATACGCTCCTGTATATGCTGATTCGGCTGGTTTCTTCCTACAGCGTGCCCCCCTCTTTTATACGAGCCTGAGTCCCGGAGTGAGGATATTCAAATGAATATTGCAGTTATGGAGGAAAGTCATATAAACCGTGAAAACTTGTAAGGAATGAGATAAATTATTTCCCGGCCCATAAAAACTCCCATAAATATCGGGAAACTCAGCGACCCCCCTATCCCTTGGCCATCCCCCTGCTCAAGCACTACAAACATATCCGAGACTATTTCAACTCTTGGATACCGTTAAGCTATAAGCGGCATCCTGCTTATGCACTCGAATGGGGGGTTAGGTCATAATTGAAAAAGATGATAAAATTTTGAAAACACATTTTGGCAGCAAAGAATTCCGGGGCAGGACAATGGGCAGTCAAGTGCACAAAGAACAGGATGACAAAGTGGTGCGAAGCGAATTTGAATGAATTGAAGATCGACGCTTTAAGGTTTTAAGGTCCTTAAAGGATTAAATGGGCGCCGTTTTGAATAATCCTTAATAATCCTTGCTGATATATACCCTTAGGGCTTACTACCTCGAGGACCTATGTCCTTGCCAGATCGATTGCAATAAAATTCCTTTGAACGAGAACCCTCGACGTACTAGGAGGGGTTGATGCCAGCGGATCGTCTGTGGAGTATGTAGACAGAGTCCTGGCAACCCCTAAACGACTACCCTTATGACTGGGAGGTCCTGCGGGACGGAAACACTTGTCCTGGGTGCGTCACGTCCTTAGAAACGGATTGGCTGACTCTGAGCTATTTTTTTGTTCTCTACTTTCTACATACGTGACTATACCTATATATCGTATACATAGACCCCTTATACGGTTTCTCCCATTGGAAGTATATACTGTCCAGTCTGTAAGGTGTCTACTTGTTTATTTATTAGTCGAGAGATCTTATCCAGCATCCACGTTCTACTTCTTCCCTTTTTGTGTGTTCTTGAATTTTTCAAAAAAAAAAAAAAAAAATCTGAGACTTCGAACTTGTTTACGTAGAGGATCTCGGGCGGGACGATATTTTAAGCAGGGTTGTAAATCTCTCCCTTGCTAACTTTCTACCTTTCTTTTTTTTATATGCTACCCCAAATATTACGTGTAATATCTTACTTGGAGATTTGGCCGAAATAACAGAACGTCTTGGCGCTGTTCAAATAAATGAATCCTTGTGCGACACGTGATCGGTGAACTCAATGACGTGTCCATGATTTTATCTGAAATATGTCTCATTCTCGAAAAAGTCAAAAATCCGAAAAAATCGGTACTCCTAGAAAATTATGTACCGACTGTACGTATCGTTTTGTGTGCTTGCTGGTAGGGTGAATATTTTTTATTTTTTTTATCGGACTGTCATTTTTAGCTTCGGCCAAGTCTAACCTGATACATTACCAATTATCGAACAACCTGTTTATTAAGTCTGGCTGGACGATATTACCGGTGGACAGGACCGTACGTAAGATCGTACGGTACCAGGCGCAAGCGTCGAAGCCACGTGTTAATTGGTGAGGCAAGAATAACGTTACTGGAGTAAAATCTGTTTTTATGTACGATTTACGCCACGCATGTGTGTTTGTATTCAGGAGGGAAAGGTACAAGGAAAAAAGTTATTACGACAATGGTACAATTTTGTGGAACCCACGTAAAGACGGCACTGCCGAAATTTTTTATCCGAATGGTAAAACAGCATTGAAGATTTCACGGCCGACGGGAAGAGCATGTAAATAATATATGATAGCGAGGAACGTAAATTTGAAGTGCTAATTTGTCAAAAAGAGATCCTTGGATTTTTCATATTCTTATCAAATTTTTTAGACGATATATATACCGTCTTCACACCGGGAGATAAAGATGCTTTTGGTCTTTCACGAGGTTCCTTGATCCTTGCTGTTTTTGACACTATGGGTGAAGGAGTGGTATTTGGCGAAGATGGTCGTACGCGGTTGGTATCATTAATTATAATTTTTTATCCATTTTTTTTTTTACTCTCTTCTTACAGTCTCACTTATAATCAAAATGGTGGTGTGTACCTGGATAATCCCACGGGAGTGCCGTTTACCTGGTTCTGGAATAATTATCAAGGGAAATCTGTCAGTTTTAATCTTTACTCGGTTAGTCGGTACTGATTTTTTTTATATATAGGGAATTTAAAATTTTTTATTTTCTTTTTCAGGAAGTTTCAGTCGCTCATTTGGTTGATGATCTACGCGATACCAATCAGACGTCCAGGTATATTTTGATGGATGACACTTTTTTATGTTACAAAAAAAATTATTTTCTTTAACCAGCAGAACCAAAAGTCCAAAATCTGGAAAAACGGAGGATAACAAGAAACAGGATGAATCAAACACTAACGAAGTTACGGACAACTTTTCTAAAGTCAAGTAATTTTACTGGTTCATCTTTCATTTTTGATAAGTCAATCGAAAGGTGGTATAGGCCGAGATATTAATTGAAAATATAGGTTACAGCCAATAAAGGACAGACGAATGGACATCCTGGCGCCAGTCAAGACAATTTGTCTAAAGTTGAATGGATACTTAAGCTTAAGGATCCTCGACCGTAGGAATGTCAGCCTGCGCTTCTTTGCTGGTAATAAAAGCGTCCGGTAAGTGAATTGAAACTTACTTCTGGAATTTCATCCCGAGTGAGAATCCACTGGAATTTCCCTTAAATACAAGAGAAGCGGTAGAGATGAATCGTTATACGAGAACTTTACTGTGTTTCCCACAATCTTCATAATTTTTGCTTCTCTTCATTCTGCCAACCAGAATCGAGCTCGGCGTCGAATTAAATCCAAGAAAAGAACTTTTTTCATATTTCGTGGATTCCTCAAATTGGGTTCAAGAGATGCTCAAGTTTGTTATTTTAATTTTTCTTTCAATTTCTGTATAGAATTCGAAATAGTCTTTCTTATTGAAATTCTTTTTTTTTTTATTCAGATGTAGATTCATTGAGAAACCACCAGAAATTATAGGGCCGAAGAGCAGCCTGCAGGAAATATCGCGAGAGTATGAAAAATTGAAAAAAACTGTATCAAAAAATAAAAAAATTAGGTCTAAATACAATAATCACGTATACAAAATGGGTTCGTATGACGATAAATAAAGATAACAGTGTGTCGCGAGATTTAAAGAAAATTAGCGTTTAATTAAAATAATTATAAAAATACTCATTATAATATTATGTATAAGGCGTTTCATTTTTTGTATAGTGTGTGCCAGTGTTTCGTGTATCTATGTGTATTGTGCTTAAGCACGTACAGAAAACATATTCCCAATTCCCGGGAATATAGAGACGTTACTTAAGAGTAAAGGGGTTCTTTTGTTTTCTCGTTTGTCCGGGACGAAAATGGGATGAAAAGAAGGGAGGGATAGAAAATAACTAAAAGGAAAACCTCGGCGCGTCGCAAAAATTTTGAATAAGTTAAGGTTAGGTTGTCGCCGATATCGCTCGGAATTCAAAAAAAAATGGCGATACCGTCGCCGTTAGTACGCGATGACCGCGATGAGGTAATGATGGAGGGGCAGGGGGGAGGGGTCGAAGGGAAAAAGGGATTTCGCAGTCGTGAAAAAAATTAAGTACAGATCTAAAGGAGAAAAATAAATAAGGGTTTTCAGACTGTCGTTCGCAGAACAAAGAAAAGAAAAAAAAAATTAATAAACAGAAACAAGCATAAACGAAGCATTCGAGAATTCGATCGACGACTCCAACTTCATATTAGTCCAGGTCGAGGAGTCAAAGTCCCGAAAGCTTCGATAAGTGGAGGAAGAGGATGTGACAATGAAGAATCGAGAAGACGAAGAGGAGAATGTTTAACGAGAGTGAGCGAAACGTGTTCAACTTTATCCATGAACGACCGGAAGTGTCCGTCGTTCGTCTTGGGCCCCTGGGCCCCCAATTCTATTCTTTATGTACATCGTCTTCTCCCAGGAGCTGCTTCCTATTTGTTCCAGGATCACCAGTCCTTTCTCTTGCTCACTCTCGAGCGTCGTGCTCCTGGTACCTCTTTTTCTTTTCTCTTTTTTTTTTCTTTCTTTCTTTCTTCTTTGTCTTGCGCGCTCTTATGTACACTACCACGCTTTCACTGTTGCTCTCCGTTTCTTTGATTATGTTCTCTCTCTCTCTCTCTCTCTCTCTCTCTTCGCTATTCATATTCGCGGCACTCGCTTCCGTTCTCTTCCGGGCCCTCCCACGGGAAGATTTGACGATAGCCGATCAGGAAGACTTCCCAGAGCTTTCAAGAGATAAAATAGAGAGAGAGAGAGAGAGAGAGAGAGAGAGAGAGAGAGAGAGAGAGAGAGAGAGAGAGAGACTTAGAGAGTCCAGGATAGCTTGGCTAGCCTCGTCTTCACAGCGTGTCGCATAGAATCTTCTTTTCTTGTATTTTTTTTCTTTTTTACTTATTTCTTTGCGGAGACTGTAGGCAATAGTGTCGACGTTCTATCCCGGGTATCATTATAGCGCGTTCGTCCTCGTCGCTTACTTCCGTTTGTTCTCTTTCCTTTTGTTCTTTATCGGTCACTCCTTCGTTCGTTCGTTGGTTCAGTTCGCTACCTTCACGAATTCCGGATTTGGGACGCTGCAGTTCTCCGGCACGAATGCTGGATGCACGAAGGACGGAACATTCAGACCTGCGTTCTTGCGGTCTACCGCACGTACTCTGACGAAGAGGAAGGCAGCCACCAGGGAGGCCACCACTACGACCAGGAGGAGCATCACCAGGCCACCCACGAACCCTGGCAATGACATGCAAATAGTCTCAGGATCCGCTGAGCTGGCATTCTGAATAACAACCGTGGTATCGTTGCTCGAGTTCGTCGTGCCCAGGGCGAAATTGACGTCACCCGGTGCCACGACCTGGATAATGCGAGAGGTATTCACGTCAGTCATCTCCTGGGCGGCCCTCTTGTACACGTGAGAGGTCACCAGGGTGATGGTCTGGTAGAGATTCTGAAATTTTAAAATTCGTAAAGATTTCCGCCGACTACGAACGTTCTATTGCACTCCATCGGGATGACTCACGTCGTCGTGAACGTCGTCGCCGTCGGCTGCGGCTCTTCGCCTTCTGGCACCACGTAGCTCAGCTGGCAGACCTTCGACCGACCTCGGACGTCCTCCGAGAGTGGCCAGGTTGCCCTCCAGTTCCTCCGAGCCCACGGTACCCTTCCTCTTGACTGTTTGGTAAGCAGCTGCTGGGTGACCGGGAAGCGGTGGAGGAGGCAAGTGGATACTGTCCTGAGGACTCTGGGGGGAGCTGCTAGCCGTCGAGTCACCCGGAGTCGAACTTGGCGAGGATGACGACGTCTGAGCTTGCGGCGCTGGCACCACGTCTGGATTTTGTTCGCTAATAAGGATACACCAGGTTAATATCAAGTTAAATAAAAATACAAGATCCTACAATATTTATACATACCTGTATGCCCCGGCTGGTCCACTAGGATGACGAGGATCGGGGTACGCCGGAGGTACTCCGTATTCTGGTACCGGAGGCGCCCCGTAATCCGAAGACAGCCCCTGATGAACCGGTGCCCCGTATTCCTGAGTGAGTCCCGCGGGTGCACCGTACTCCAGACCAGGATGGCCGCATTTCGGCTCGGGACAGTTGTAACGGCATACTTGAATGACACATTGGAAGTGCACGTTCATACTGTCTGGGAACTTGAAGGCCTGGAAGTACGCGAAGCTCACGACGGATGCGCTGGGCCCAAAGTTCTTAATCTTTTGGAACCTGCAACCCCAGAAAAAAGGAAAATAAGGATACGTCTCATATACACTCTTCCTAAATCATTGAACCCAGAATGGAAGATTTACCTGGACATGATCTTGGGCCTGACGACACATCCATATTGATCGACCAACTGAATGGGTGCTCTCTTGCCATCGTGGGCAACGCAATTGCGCACCAGCATGTCAAACTTATTCTCATCGTCCTTGATAGCCAGCACCATAGTCATCGTCTGTCCGATCTTGACAATGCCAGACACTTCAGAAGCCCAGGGTCCCTTGCCAACCTGGATCTGCATCCAGCACTGAAGATTGTCCCCGAGGAAGTTGGCAGTCACAGCATGGAGCATGTCAACTTGGAAGGGTCTGAAGGTGACAGCCTTCTCGTAGAAGTCGTACCAGGTGCACCGAAGCTTCCTAGCCTGATCCCAGACCTCCTGAACGTACGGGTCGTACTGGACGATGATGGTGTTCTCCACGTAACTACCGGAAGGCGTCGGGGCGCCGTAGGCGGCCACGTTGTGATTGGCCGAGGAGCTCATGCCGCAAGAGTTCAGGAAGATCTCGAAGGTGGCGCTAAGGTGTCCCGTGCCCGGTTTCAAATGGACGCAGTGAGGATCCGAATAAAATCCCTTGCTGAATATCATCCCGTAGAAGGGTCGGTCGAACTCAATGTTCACCCTCATGTGGGTCTTCTCGCACTGAACTTGCAAATGCTTTATCTGAGGTGTATCCGGCGATGCCAGTGGCCAGTTCTCCTCGGCACCGTGCGACTGGGGTGGTCCATATTGGGATGCTGGAGCGCCGTAAACCGATCTGTGCTCCAGAGGAAGGGCGCTGCTGTCGACCAAGGGTGCCTCGCATCTGACGCTCTGTAAACAAAAAAAAAAATTAATTTAACAAAAGTCCATGATCGTTATCAACATTACTTTAAACCAAGCTGTCGCCACGGACGCATCCGGTATTTCGGAAGGACCCGGTCCCTTAGGTCTTAACCAGTAAATACAGTCCGAAGAACAGAGACCAGGAAAAGAAATTGCGAAATAGAAATTATGCGTTTACATGAAGCACTTTAGGCGGGAATTTCGAAATACGCTCGCAGCGTTATAACGGAAAGAAACCCGAAGCCTGTGACGTATGTAGATGCGCCTGGGCGTGTGTCACCGGAAAGCGCGTTGACTGTGGCACAGAAGTATGACGGGGATTCGAATAAATTCATCGTTGACTTCGAAGAGAATTCTTTTGGATAAAATAAACGGTAAAAATTGGCAGGGAGAGGGGGGACTCTCTCCTTGTAGAATGACAATGAAGGAATCTCACGAGGTTAGTTTCGAAAGTTTCGACAGTCGAAGATTCGGAACGACACGGTCGATCGCCATTAGAATTCCAGCTGTTCTTATGGAGGTGAGACGTTTCGTGAAATCTCAATGAAATCGTATTACGTTTCTTTTTTTAACATTTCTTATTTCTCCCGAACCACTATTTAATTTCGTGTATGAATTACGTTTCTGTATTTCCCGTCCTTCGTTTTTATGTACTCATCGCGTCCTTGTCTCTCTTATACGTATATATGTATAAATCTGCTAAACACGTTCCTCCCAGTCAGCCATACGAATTGGGTTAATTTAAGGCTCGTCCGACGTACTTCGAGCCATGGTCGCAAATTAATATCAATTTGAGAAATAGGAAGATGAAAATAAGAGAGAGAAAAATGAAAAAGGAGCAAGCTTTAACCCCGGGCTATAAACCAGCAGGTAGATAGACACCAGGGCACTGACAACGCCCAGGGCGACTTCGCATTCTGGGTTAACGCACGGCGTGCCTATTAGATTCGGAAAGGTTCTCGAAGGCACCGTTCAACGAGCAAGAGAGAGACAAGGGGAGACTAGAGAAGAGGGCCGGGGAGTGTCGCGAGAGAGCGCAATTAAACCACAGTAGACTCTCCCGGCCGTCACGAAGACGCCGACGACGCTCGTTTCTCCGCAATTAAGACGCGGCGCAATTAGCGTCTCGTTACGGCGCAAACTTAGTCAACGACATCGCAACGTATTCAGGCTGTCCTCAAAGACGCTGCTCGATGATTAACGATCATCCAGGATCATCCCGAGTCCCGTCATCCTTCGGGTCCAGCCTGCCGGCTTTGGACGCCCCAGGGTATAAGCCAGACTATCGACCGATTCCCTAACCAAGTACAGTAGCCGCCAACTACCAGCCGGCGAACCAGCTGCGAATTTGATAAGATCTTGTCAGTTGGTCGGGTTGCCGATGACGAAGGCGAACATCGTTCCGCCGGGTATCCGTGGACGTTCTAATCGTGATTTCAACCTGCAGGAACTCTGGTTAAACTTTCATGACTCTATCCACTGGTATATGAGTATAACTGTACAGTCCCGACAACTTTGCCCCTCAATTATGATATAGTTGCGAAAGAGCAGCAGGTACTAGCGCGTGCCGCGAACAGGTCCCAAAAATTCAGGCCCATTTATTAAAGCACGCGTACGTTCTGTCAGAGAAGAGGCACGAGTCGACGACAATGTATCTTGGATAATTTTTACTTGAAAACCGGTAAATCTGGATGTAACCATGGAAACAGGTTAAAAGCAATACGAAGGACCACGAGGGTTAAATTACTTAAAAAATTAATCCAACGAGTCCGAAAAATAATTCGACTGAAAAAATAAAAACTTTTCTCAAAGGGCCTTATACAGATTTTTGCCAAACAGTATGCGTGTCTTTGTCTTACACACGTAACTACCAATAAGACCCTCTCTCTCCCACTCGTTGCTGGTATAGGAAACTTCGAAATTATTATAAATACCACGGGGACTTTTGTTTCGTCGATTAATCAAGTTCATTGGTCGAGTGACATCCGGGAGCATTTTCTATGTTTTTTTTTCGAACGACTTTACGAAGACTTACACGAGACGTCTTTCCGACCTGTGGCTTAACGGGATATACAGGTGTACGTGATATATGTAAGTTCAGTATGGAATTGTTGCCCACCGGAAACGAGAGTCTCTTCTCGAGCCTCTCGTGATTTCACTTTTCTATTGTCATTCGCCAGTCAACGGACTCCACTTACAAGACACTTTCACCGGTGTCACGGAATAACGCGACAATTTACTAATTGTCTTCTTGTCACGAATACCATGTATGTATACGTATAAGTATTAGGTATCGTCATTCGGAGATGCTTTTAATTCATTCCCAAACAATGGGTTAGAGCGCTACAGGTGTATCTTTCTTTAGTACAGATCTGTAGGCTCTGGTACGGCTACTATGTAGGACAGAAGCAACAAGTGACGGAATCGAAGAAAAGGGTCCTGGGTTGCTGCTGGGTCGCTTCTGGGTCTGTGCCTATTAAATATCAAGATCCTTTTGGTAATTTTGAAATACGTTATTAACGTCATACGTAATAACGCGATATACCCGCATCAATTAAAAAATGAAATCACATTGGAATTTAGACAAGTAGAAAACATGGCGACTAACGACGTCGAGCGTCCCAGAGCGTCGTGCCCGCGTCTCGCGACATATATGGGGGCGAAAATGTAGAACGTCGTGCCGGATCGCGTCTCCTTTTCTAAATGAGAAAAAAAATCGATGCGTCGCGACGTCTACCTGCTACTTCTTAACCCTTTTATTTGATTCTTGTTTCTTTTTGATTTTTCGTGGAAATTATTGTCCTATAATTTTATGAAAATTTGAAATTTGAGAAATTTATTTTTGCGAGGTCATTTAAATCTGGCTATCGGATGGACCGAATGTGATAGCTGGGACGTCGCGACGCTAATTGAAAACTGCTTCAAGCTGGAGGGACCTGACGCGTGAGAATCAGGCTGAAAAGCAATGGCGAGGTGACTTTGTCTTGGTATCAGAATCTTATGCTGGCTGAGTTAGGCTTTAATTACAGAAGTGTATTACGAAGAACAGCTATGCGAACTTGATATTAAGGACGTCTCGACTGAACGACCCTGCGTGTAATTCGATTCTACATTTTGATAAGTCCTGTGTATAATATAAAAAGATACGAGTATAGATGCATTGTAGACTAGAAGATTTTTTGTAATTTAAAAAAAAAAAATTTTTTTGAACCGATTTTTTATTTTTATTTGCATTACTAATCGTAATATCAAAAAGATACAGTTATGGATGCTGGAGATACAGAACGGAGTCTGTGGTCTCCCACAAGATTACAAGGCGCCATAAGAAGCGAGAGTGACCTTCGGTTTAGTCGGCGAAGATTTTATTAATGGCGAAATGTGTGATTTAGGAAATTTCAATATGGAAGATAATAATAAAATTACAGAGTAAATCGGAGCAAAATAAATTACCGGAAAAACGGACCGCCAGTAAATTATAAGGGTGTGCGGAGAAAATTTTCTGAAAAAAAAAAATTGCCCTCCATACACCACCTGTCGAATTTCCCTCCGTGGGAAAGATCCGTATTCCTGGGAATTTTTCCATTGGAAATAATGACACTTCCGGCGTGAGATAATTTTGATAAAAACAATGGCATTCGGTGAATACAAAAGGTAGGGAGAAAAGGGGTGGAAAAAAAAGTCTTTCAATTGTGCAACAATTTTCCGTGCCTTTCCAACGTGGCGACGTAGCCACGGTAAAACCTAGCGAGACGCACTAGGTGCCCGTCACCTGCATAAAGGCTAAACCCGAGAACAGGACGGGACATTTCTCAGGAAAGAAAGCTGCTAAAAGAAAGAAGTTGATCCCAGTGATGTTGCAGCCAGTCAGAGTGCCGCTACTCTTTCGCGACTATAGTATACTGAATAACTCGAAAGTCCATAGTCTGGTGAATATAGTAGAAAGAGGGCACTGCGTCCGGCGCAGTGACCTACTATCTTCGGTTCGGCGGCTTGCTTATGGTGTAGCGAGACAAGAGTCGTGTGGACGTGTATTTTCATTGAGCGATTTGCAATAAATACAATAAATTAATCATTCACTTTACGTATCCCATGATCAATAGTTACCCAGTGACAGCCATAGAGTGTAAGCAACGAGAGAGTCAAAAAAGGGATGAAGAAAAAATGTAAAAAAAAAAATTTAATTAAAATACTAATATTGGGCATTTTTTTCCTACTTGGAAAAACTAATTTATTTAACGACACCACAATGGGACTTTTTACTATTCGATTCGACTATCGTACGTTTCTTTAGCCGTTCATCGAGGTGTGGTCCGCTAACGAGGCATTACGCCGTGTATAAAGGTGCGAGAGTTGCGATTGGTCACGACTCTGTGAAATTCGATTAGGAGTTGATGAAAAAAAAAATTTTTTTTCTTTAAAAATAAGTCTAATAAAACGTGTGTTTATAGGATCGATTGTAAGTTATTGATATACGATTAGTATACTTACGGCTATCAATAGTGGCAGCAGGAGAGACAGGGCTGTCTTTCGTATACTCCGCCTTGTCCTGTCCATCGTGATTTATTAGTGTGTGCGCGTCTTTCTGCAATCCAAAAAATCAAATAATCCTTATCACGCGGGCTTAGATAGTAAACCACACTTTTGGCAAATTTCCATTAAATAAATCAAGTCGAAGAGTAACACTTGGATTCACTTCATGTCTTCGGATGGAGTATAGAGAGCAAAATATGCAGGAAAAACAAGATATGTTAGTATCCGTTAGAGGGAAAAAAAAAAAAAAACTGTACCAAAAGTAAATTTTTTTTTGCAAATTCGCATGGGTCCTACTGGATACACGGTACTTGCACTGTTTCTCCCTGACGTCGATTAAAACCCGATGGTGTCTCAGTTCGTGAAGTACGCCGCGAGAAACCGTATCCGCGCACTAATTTAAATGGTTCATCGAGAACGGGGCCCGAGCGTGTTAGTTAAGGCCCAAAGTGGCTATCCTGGCCGGCGGGAGCTGACTGAACGAGCGAGTGGTACTCGTCGCGGCTACGAGCCATGTCCCAGTGACCTACTGACGATCATGTTCATTCGTGTGAGGCCCCACCGGGCCCCACTAGGCCCCACTAGGCCCCACTAGGCCCCACTACTGGCACGATCCACGATGGCTCAACGCTCGACGGGTCCCCATCCAACTTCCTTGCTTCCCACCATGGTGTAGCTTACCGGGCTTCGGGCCCCTACTGGCCCAACTCTCTCGGGCACAGGTGAAAGACGTGCAGGGGCCCTATGGAGTATCTGGCGTAAATCTCATTACGAGTAAAACGAGGATATATCGAGAGAAGGTAGGATGACTTCGGAATTACGTCCCGAAGACGTACGACTTCTTCCGATATGACACGAAGTCCCATACGATATTCGGTCCCATATTACATATGGCTTCCTTTTTTTTTTATTCGTGTAACATGATCTTTTTTTTCCCAACCCCTTATTACGGGCCTTAAATTATATACGGGTACTCGCTCGGACGTAATTTGCGTAAATTTCGTAAATGCACGATGAAAGCGATTTGCATAACAATGCACGATAAAGCGGTTTATGACAGTTGCGAATTGTTGAGAACTGACCCATATTTCCACCCGCATGAATACTCGTCTATCCGGAAACGGCTTATCCGCGATACGGAAGGTCTGCGATAATTCGTGAAAGTGTCAGCGAGCGTTTTCTACCTTAACGCCTTGCGTTGTTTTTGTGTAAGGCCCCCGACATAAATAGTCCGATATTACGTAATATATTTTTTTGTCGGACTTACCGAAGACCATTCTTTTAATACGGGACTACAGTCCACTGATGTTTTATCGTGGATTTCTAGAAGCTAGAAAGAAGTCGGTAAGCGTTCGGAGAGGCATAATAATTGTAGAGTTTAAGGGTGGGCCAGTATTTCAAGAATTAGACCCCTAACTTCTCTAAGGGTTGCGTCTGGGAATGCCGGCTTAATCTGTTTTTACCTGAGTCCTCCCTCGAATCTGGGTCCTGACTACCTTTTCAGCCTTCTCATCCTGTTTTCTCACCCTGACCTGTACTATACTTTTTCAAACCCGACAGGTCCATCCTCACCCTGGCATTTGACCGCAGCATCCCTCACAGATCAGCCTACTGCTAAACACGTGAAAAAAGCCTACCGGGTCCCCAACTTCAGTCGAGTCACGGTGAAAACCGATTTCCTACATTGAATTTTCGGTACCTTTGATCCACCTACGTAATAATAAAAACTGTCATCGGTCCTGAGAATTGTGAAAAAAGAAAAAAAATGGCAAAAATTCTTCCAAATCTCATCCACACTAAATTTCCTATAATCCGTTATCGATAACTCACCCTTTTTTTTCCCGTATCCAAGGTCGATTCACACGATACAAAAATGTATACTTCCATTAGCGCAATTCTCAATGCAAGCTGCGGGTAATTAAAAAACTGCCACAATTATTTAATCGCCCGTCAATTAAAGCCGTTACGAATGTAATGAGAACGGAGCCGAAAAGCGGTAGAAAGGTGGGCTATTAGGAGAAAGCGGCCCAAAAATAATTCTCCGTCGATCCGCGGCGTCGTTACGCTCCTAGCGGCGGCCGTTGGCCCACGTGAATAGGGGCCAGCCTACACGCACCGCCATTCTCTACATTCAACAAACACATTCTGCCTTTCTACATTTCATTAATTTCTACATTTTAATTACCATCATCGCACGTCATCCTTATTATACTTTTATATCCGTCCAAATGTCTGCCAGTCAATTTCAAAATCCAAATTTTCAAAAAAGTCCCGAAAACAAATTTTAATCCAAATCCCAAAGTTGACACTAGTACCCATCAACGTAACACGTAATCTTGTCTCGGTTTGAGCCTTGGACGTTTTATTGGGTCCGACCGGGGCCCACTGTGAAAACAAGGAAGGCAGGTTTCCTCGTTCTCGCGGAAATCAGATATCAGATGGAAACCTGTACTCCCCTTTTTTATACTGCTTCCTTTTTTTCTTAACCGTAGACAGCCCTTTGTCCTTGCGTAGCGACAGGTGTAGTGACGTAAGAATATACCGTTAACCGTAGGTGCAACACGGAACCGGTGCACCAGCCGAAGGAAACCCCATAAAGAATGTGGCGAAACAGCCGCACGGAAGTCGCCACGAATATCACACGCGAAAGTGATTACACTTACGTACACAAACACGATATTGTATATAAAGTGAAAAATTGCCTAAAATAAAATAAATCTACAGCAGCATATTATGGAAAATACTTGATAAAAATGTCGAAATAAGAAACGTACAAAATATACGTCATAGAAACATCCGGTCTCGAGAAGCAGAGAGCGCGAAATTCAAAATGCGGAAAATTGGTCACGTGGTCTCCGTACTCGAATAATAACAATGACAAGCATACAAGTCCAACGTGTTGGGAATTTCTCGTATAATATTTTTTAATGATTCGGATGATCTTTGAGATTAAAAAATCTCGATCACCATTCAAAAGATGATCCTGGCTATGGATCTCTTAGCAATGCTTCCTATCTCACTGGATCCATCCACCTTTCTCTCGAGTCTCCTGTTTCGCTCGTAGCTCGCATACGTTACAGGTATGCATATATATATATATATACCATATATATGTATACAGCATAGAGAGAGCTCAGAATCTCTTCAGACAATCCCGAGTCTCTCGAATCGTGCCGCATGCGGCCTTATTCTCGGCATAGAACCGGAGAAGGAAGGTTGCCTTCCTGAGAGACGTGAGAACGTTGACACACTGACTCGCTACCCCACATACCCTTTTACCTTATCAAACGCGCCCGCTGGTGGGATCAAATGTTAAATAGGCCGATATCAAGGTAATAGCTTGTCTGGTTCGCGTCTAACGAACGTAAGAAGATGGTGCAATCGGCAGGTGTTTGGGAAGACGCTGCGACGAATTTTTTTTATTAGTAATTTTTTTAGTTAGAAAAGTGGCACTTTCAATTGTTAACGCTTTTGAAAAATTTACCGATCAATTATTTATAACAATTCACAAACCTTTGGTTCAGTTGATTTTTTGTATAATCCTGTATGGCACACACACTTGGCACTTTACGTACGTCGAGACGGATTACGAGGATCTCCTCCGAATCCACGAGGTAACGACTATTTCGTAAACTATGGATGAATAAATAAATAAATAAATAAATAAATAAGCTAGTCCATTAAAAAGGCTGTAAAGTCTCGCTGTAAGTTCGGCGAGTGTCTTTCGTAGTGAGTCCGTTGGAATCGAAACGCTGCCTATATACTCTCCCCTCCTGTATTCTCGGCTTTCACCAAAAACCCTTGAGAAACTGACGAAATATTGACCGACGACTATACAGAAACCAGGGGTGGGAAAATTGGACCTGACTTTTTACCTAATACCTCGAAAATTGGACCACCACTGTGGTACGTTTGCGTCCCTTATTTTTTTCAGGTACGTCGAATCCAGGTTAGGTTGGAATGGCGAAGTCATGAGAATCCCAACGAAAGGCTGGTTGGACAATTTCAAGCCGGTCTGGTCGGTACTTTCTTTTTTTATTAATCATCAAGAAAACATAATGGAACGTAAACGGAGCTAGGGTGAATCAGAACTTGCGACAAGTAGCACGCCAAGTGAATTTGGTATGGTTGGTACCATTTCCGGTACCGGAAATCATCACAAGCGAAAGTTTGGACAACGTCACTTCGCACTCGACTGACATGCATACGTCTTATTACGTATTTCCAGATTGCCAAAAAGCATACTTACCCGTAACAGGGAAGTTAACCTAAAATTCAATTATCAAGAATTAATTTTTTTCTTTGATATACAAAATTGTCATAAAACGTTAAGTACTCATAAAAAGTTTCCATATATTGTGTATTAATCAATGGTCAACTTAGAGAAAAAAAGTATTTAGAACTATCCCATTGTTACGTGCAGGTGAAATTTTGTAAAAGTCTTGAAAAATTTTCTTTTCTTATATAGGAACCGGATATCGCTCGGTAAAATCAGGCAATTCCGCGATTGGCGTGCCAAGCGGTGAAATTGCGCAATTTTTCCGCGAGTCTTGACGTCAGCAGCCATTCATGCTCACCACAGCTTTCACACGGATCTTGCTTATTGTATCTAAGAGGCTGACCGGACGAGAATGATCGGCATGCTTATGCAATGTGCATGTATCTGCATCATGTGTATACATACAACGTGCATCAACGTTCAAATCTTCTGGTACTTCCGGCAGTGACGTTAGGAAAAAGAAAGAGGGTGCTTTCTCCTCGATCGACCATGAAATTCCAGTAAAGCGAACGAGTCTACTAACAGCTTTGAGAATAAAGAAATTAAAGAGAAAAAGTCATGAAGTAGTTTTAAAAAATTCAGTATACATAATTCCAAGCAAAAAAAATTATCAAATCACATACGTCCAAAGGAACTAATAAAACAACTGACATCGCTTGTAGAACAAGAATCGCAATCTCCATGAGTGATCTACAGAGTGATGGGTAGATCCTTTTAAAATGTCAATCGCATCAATACGTACGCAAAGGAATCCACGTATTACGCATCAGCCAGTATACGATTCCCCTACTGACCGATTTCGATTCCCATTTGATTCTAAATAGTAGGAATTCTATAAGCGTTACGAAGCAGCGTCGATTCGAGAATGAGGATCGCTCGGATCGGCTGATCGGCTCGCGATCACGCAGACCCACTATCTTGGCTAATGTGTAAAGTCGAACAGAAGATGACACACTTCTGATTTTAAAACACCCGTAAACCGGCGCACCACACCCACGGAATTAAAATTACAAATTGGAAGGATTTTGCTGTCCGCTGAATAATGCGCTCGCGCGCATGCGCGCGCTGTCACAGCTGTAGCCAATCCCGTGCGTCTTCCTGCAGTTCGCTTCGGTACGTATACGGCAGACAGTTGCATCGACAGCGAGTGAATTTATTTGATTTACTTACATGACCAGTGTATTTATTAAAGAAAGACAATGCGTGTGGGCGTTGTAAGATGACGTACAGCGTAACCGATAATTTTGGGTCAGTGACTAGCAGACAAGAATTTTTTTCCCGTTCGACAGCGATTGAGATACATGCGAAACATGGTGTAAGTTAAATTGATGTATGGCAATTAAGGTCGATCATTGTCTGCTTTATATCTTTTTTACACGACTCCTTTACTTTTCATTTGATATATTATCATTAATCGACAATCACGATTGAGCGATTAATTAACGACGAGGGATCCTACTCGATTGGCTACCTGCTGTCTGTAATCGATTTCCTGACTGATACCTTTTCTTAACTTTGTTACAGATTCGAGCGGTATCCTTGAGCGATTGTCGTTATACGTAAACAAAAGAAACGACATGGCTGAGTGCACGTGACAGAAGAGACATTGTCTCGTAGAATTGAAAATCGAGAGCTACGAAAATCCAAGAGAAATCACAAGAGAAAGTGTAACACTCCTGCATGTACAATATGGTTATGATTACGGTGAGTGGCATTATCAACTACAATTCCAAAGGACAGATTTCCCCAGACATTCTCCATTCGTAAAACCTATTCCCACAGTGAATAATCGTTCCATTCAATTCTGCCAATCTGACAGGGCCAAGACTGCTAACCTTCAAATTCCCAAAAGCAGAGCGTTACTCAAGACTTCCTCTGTAGCTCGTTAACCGTGAACTTGACTCAAAGTCCGACTCTGTGTCTGCTGAGTTTGTATAGCCCGAGGGAATCATTCATTCGAGTCAGTGTATTATACGAGTGAACGTGCTGAATAAAAATTCAATGGTTTATCAACTAGTTGAACAGTGTCCACATTGTATCCACTGCGTACGCACTTACGTGTACGCAAATTATTATCCAAAGTGCGACGGCCGATCCGAGAAAAATAGATAGCCGATCTTAGTGTGTCAGTGTGCCTATATGCTAATTGGTGGTCGATGAGCGAGTCAACCTTTGCGAATTGGCATGGCCCGTCTCTCTTTAACATACGCATATACCATACCTACCTTTCATAGCACGCGAGTACATACATATATGACTATATAAATACGAATAAATATACTCGTATATATCAGCACGGTTATTCGTACAGTAGTTTAACGGTACAATGTTCGCTATGCTGACGGTAGAAAGTAGTTTGATATTTTGACTGTGTCTAGAACCGTACTATGTATTTTGGTTAACTTCACAAGTAGCCAAGTAGTATTGCAAATCGAATAAATCATTATCAAGTATTTCCTACATACAAAAAGTCTGTCAGGTCAATAAAGATTTCACAGCGACTATGAATTCCGTGGTTTACATTGAATCTTATGGGAGTAAATAGGTAAACCAGTATGTACATATATGTAGAATCGTGTCGCATTGATTGTACGTTGATAAAGATGTTGTGGGTTAATTACTACCGGGTCGATTATTATCACATGAAATTCCCCATCAACTATGGGAAATGTTAAGCCGATTCTCATTAAGCCCGGGCACAGCATCAGCGAACCCGCAAACGGCCAACTAGACACGCGGTTCGCACTCTCTGCTAATTGGCAGATAAAAGTTGAAGTGGCTGAACTGGAGCGGCGTTCCTGCGCGAAGTAGGAGTCGCAGACATAATGAATTAGCTAGATAATTTTATAAACAGTAGTTTTAATGTCTTCATAGTATTTCGTACCTACCCCGAGCCCGACCTAACCTCCTCACTTATGGTCAACGCAGCAAACTCCCACAATGCATCACCATCAAGAAATTCAAATTCAACGTTCAAACGATCAACGACCCAACTGCACCTATGCTGCGAATCAATAGCGAAGAATTCAAAAAGAAAGTCACTAGATGAATTAGATCCAAGTAGCCAGGATCTGTAATACGTGTCCGGATGTGACCCAGTCACTCATTCGTTAAGTCACTCGCTCACTTTCACCTCCTACGCATGAATTTTCTACATTGACTCTCGCAGCGTTCGCGCCAACCCAAGCAAGAAGCTCAGGGTCGTTCGTAAAATTCCCTAGATATATCCCTATAGTCATCGGCGCCTCACTAGCATAGAGTTAATACAGATAGAGCAGACAAGCCAGCTCTCAACGCGGCAGCGGCGAAGAGAGAGATAGATGCAAATCAGAGTGCAAAGACGGATAGCTAAAGGGGTTCAGCTGTCTCTTTCTTTCTCATTATGAGCGAACGGACACTTACACTTGCAGAGCAGCCTATGGCTTGTCTGCTCTATCTGTATTAACTCTATGCTCACTAGTCGTCCAGTACCACGCTTTGTCCTTGTTACCAACCGACGTCACGTGTCTAAGAATACAGTCAGCTTTTTATCATCATCCAACCGCCCACTCTAACCTTCCTGCTACTCTATTCTCCGTTTCCCCAATCGTCCCCGCCCTAACCTCCTCACTTTCACCGGCTGCATTCTGTGCATCCGGAATGGTCGACGGCCCGATCGTAAATAGGATAACCACTTGGTGTAATCTACTTATCCATTCGACTACTCAGCACTTTGGACTCTGCTCCATTCCATCCAGACTCTCCAAAGCATTCTCCCGTGTATCGTCTAGATAAATTTTGATTGGTAAAAGAGAATGAAAAAAAGTTTCCTTTTCTCCAACAAGTATGTCTTATTTTTCATATCTATTCCGGATACAGCATCCGAGTCTGGCATTTCTCTAGGATATCCTGTGAGCATTCCCCATTGTCCTTAACACTCTCTTATCAACCCGATAGCATGCTTCTCAATCTCTTTCGTTTCTAGATGACGTACTCGGCTAACCAGAATGATTGGGGTTGCCTTGTAACACGCTCGATGCGGTTCGTGCCTCGTGGCCCACGCGGACAAGACTCGGCCATTGGAACGTTCCAAATACTTACCACGACTGGTACGTACGGGCCATTGCTGACGGCATGTTACTCTTGAGTGTCTAAAGAGGGGTAAGTCAATTTTTTATTTTGTAAATCCACGAGACAGAGTGTCGGGAAACTGAGGAAAAGGGACGTCTGATCCGTTCAGTATTATTTTGGTGTAAAATTTTTTTTTTTCAGAATTAATGTGACAAAGGAAGACACTGTTCTTGGTTGTTGTTTTCGAGAGTTCTCCATGGCCTACGTCGGCTCCTAGTACACTGATCATGGACCGATTACTATCTCAAGGATGGATACTGGGAACTGTGAACCAAGCAGAAAGAGGAACGATCCGAGGAGAAAGTTCCGAAGGCAGGAAGTGAAGTAGGCCACGACTTTGACCGCTCGCAAGGTCCATACCTCTCCTCATACTATTGCTGGTCTTGCTGTTACTGTGGTGGCTATACCGAGCGCCATCCTGCTGATGGTAATTGGTAGGCCACTGCCCACTGCCAACTTACAACTGGCTGATGCCCACTGCTCGGTTACTGGTAACTGGTGGAACGCACTTCGATTCGAACCATTCTTTTTTATCTTAGTTTGACTTTTTATGCCTGACGTTAACACTCCATTTAATTGACGACCTTTACTCGGTTCGACAAGTTCTCCAATGGGATTGGCCCGATTCTCTATTGGTACCGTGATACACTTAATCGGTAAGAACAATGGCTCGTTTATCGGTGAACAGTTAAATTGAAAATTGGATTTTTATAAGGGTTGTAGGTGCAGTGTTATGGTTGTATGATTTTTTGTTTGTTTTTTTAGGTTTCAATATTTTTTTTATTACTCTCTACATCATGCCTCAAGAGTGTCTGGATTAAAGGAGCCATGCCGAGGAATTTCTACGTGGCCAGAGTTACGTCAGAGCTTTCTCTATTACGTGGAATGAGGGTGTACGTCCCTATTGTAGTAATGGTGTATAAATATGGACCGAGTCGTTGGGCCTTGAATTAACATTTCCTGATAGGCCGGACCCATGCAGCCCATCCGACACGTGGATGCCCAAGACTGTGTCAAGGCTGTTTTTTAACCCGGATGAATGACGTACTAAAATTTCAACCAGGAAACAGAGAAAATCTTATCGCTTCTATGGAACAGTCTTTTCGACAAGCTCGTACAATATCGATGAAACTAAAATAACGTCGATTGGCAATTAGTCGTTTCTAAAAAGACATTGCCCGGCTGGTATACAGTTCCTTTCAAAATTCCATCCCGAGTGACAATGCAAAACGTTCTGCCGATTGGCTTCGATGTTAATTCACTTTTTGCATGAATTCACGCCAGGTTGAATATCGATGAGGAGTACCAACAGAATACCCAGCACACACCGTTACGATAAAAAAGCAAAATATATCCTAGCAGGTACAATACAAGTTCAGAAGATAAAAATCGATGGAAAAAAAGGGTCTACTCGTTCAATCAATTGCCTTAAGTGATTTTTTCATAAAATCAATTACACGCAAAATGGCGTTCCTCAAAATTCCGTAGGGACTTAAGAAAAAGGTATATAATAAAACGTTCCAGATAAGAACGTGTTCTCGATTACCGGAAGTAGCAGCGAGACGTCTGGGTATCTTCTAGGGTGCCCCTGAGACGGCTAATAAAATCGGAAGAATTAAATCGGCCTTCGTTCGCTCTGCTACCAAACCAACGAAACATAGGAGAACGTCCGTCCGACTGGTACAGACTTTACCTACTGCCTATGCTACACGCACCGACCATACCTACAGTCTGGTGCATAAATAGTTACTCCATACACTAATCACGTAGCATACTACTCGTTCGTACATATGTACTTTATACACGAGTGTACTCGCACGTATCTCTGTATACTAGGCTGTAGCGAACGATAATCGTAGAGTAGGTCAGCGGAACAGCGCCTCTAGCAATCTGCGTTCTTCGGCTCTTCAATATTTACTCCTTCTTGTATCGAAGATGCCATGGACTTCGTATACACTGGAATGGACCAGTTGGATTAACGTGCCCAGTTGCATTCGAGAGGAACAATCCTTATGACAATCTTGATCTGCATACGAGTACCGGATATCCCCTCCCTAAAACAAAGCCATAGTAATTATTGCGTGACAATGATAAAACGATTTTTGTAATTTGCTTAAATTTCTCTATGAATTGTCGAGGAAAGTTGAAGAAAGGAGTGTGTACAAATCAATACCGAATAAAGGATAGATTATTGAGGAATTAATGTTTCTGATCTTTATGATAGAATGACTTGCCTTCTTGTACGTGCCTAAGGATTTATGGCGATAGGGTAACAACATACAGAAGATATAAAGAACTGTTGATGACTGTAAAGAGGAAGTCGATCACTTCCTTACTGGAGGACAGCTTTCCCAATAGAAAAACCGAGTAAAGCCGATCAGTTACAGTTCCGACGACCAGATGACAAGACGACCCAGATCCAGACCGAATGGACCCGCGTATCGAATTTATTTTTTTCCTGACAATTTTGTTCATCGTTAAGATCAGGACGCGATGACCCGGCTGATATGTATAACGTTGACAAAAATATCGTATACTCAATTGACTGTAATTATTTTTGTAATGATACTAGCTGCAACCGTTTGGATTAAAGCAACCAGGTCAGAAACCACTGTCGCACTTAGTTGCCATATGTGTAAACGACCAGCAGGTACACTCGAGTCAAGTTCTATGCGTGATCCACGATCGGATAATAGTCATTAATCATGACATCGGTGTAGAGATACTACGCTACGTGAGAATCTTAACGACTACCTGCTAAGGAGGCTGGAAGAAACAGTCCAGGACGATAGATGGTACTAAAGTAGATTGTTACCGGTTCCTCAACTTCATACTATCGGGATACAGCGCGAAGCATGTCGGGATGTTGTATACAGTGTTTATTAAAAAAAATTAGAATATACGGTTGTCACGATACTTAAGGCCCATCCACTAGATTATAATCCAGTGAATGGATGAACGCAACAAACACGCTTGGGACTTGGTTACAGCTTTTCAAATAGAAATTTGGCAGGGCACCCCGCGTTCCACATACCGCGAATACTCTTCTTCTATTTCTGATGTACCGGAGGTGCGAAAGATCCGATAACAATTTCAAACGTGCCGCTTTCACGAGCAACAGTTGCCCGAGACGTATTTCTAACGTGCGTTTAACCGAGCACGCCCATTGGTCGAATTCAAATTTGTCACGGGCGTACTTTTACGACTCGTTGCGAGTACTTCCGCACGTTACGGAAAAATATGATCTATTAATAGGAGGCAAAGAGAAGCCCAGTGAACGTGCGGATCAGGAAGAATGACACCCAAATTAGAGTGCGCACGAGGCACAGTGACGGGAGCGCCGCGATTGTCGCGCGTCGCCGTGTGGCGCGGCCGTCCCTTCTGAACTTTCGTCCGCTAGTGCAAGTTGCAGCGCCACCATGATAGTCAAGGCGAGCTCGTACGTGCCGCTCGTCAATACCGCATGCGGTTTACGTCGTGGAGTAACGTGCGTCGTGACGCAGTTTACACAGCCGATACGAGAGCATGGCACCATCGTCGAGAAGAGGATATCACGGGAGACGATGCATGAGCATTACTTGAAGACTTTGGAAAAGTGCAAATGTAAGTAAAGCCACATGGAGGCCATATTACTTTTACCAGAGAAACGGCAGACTGTGTCGGCGTGCGATTCTAACGTACTCGATCTGCGTCGGGACGCTGCGCCTAGAATATATCTACTGTTAATTCTCATAGAAGTCGAGAACGCGCAGGCGCTCACTTCGTATCCACATTCTCTTGTTGCTCTTACGGTTGCTTTAATGAACGCGGTAAACGAGACTATTTCAATTACCGCGTGTATGATGTCTCGGCTGTGTCTGAGAGTAATTCCCATCAAATATATTAATATGTAATAACGAGCGAAGCGGGCTTTGAGAATGGAAACACGTCGTTACCGGTAATGGACGAAAATATAATGATATTTATAATTTCAAAACTACTGACATAACACAGTCAAGATCACGTTGTATCTGTGTGTTATATACCCTACTCATCGGTCTAAGAATATATTTATGTGTATAGATGTATGTATACCCACGTTCTCAACTATTTCTATCACTTACATTTGTGGAATAGCGAAATCTGGGGAAAAAGTGTGAAAGGGAAACTACAGTTTTCTCATCGATACAATGACCACAAGGATTACAACTGTATCGCGTTACTGCATTAGCTATCAAAGTAACATATCGGTTTCAGTTACCAATGTCGTTTAGAACCATATAGTGTAATGATGCATGGCATCTGCAGCATCCTCCCGCAAAACCAACTCGTTAGTCGTCAATTGGTTAACGGAGGACAATATATGTACTATACGTTGCCAATGATACGGGGTTATCAGTACCCTACTGGCATTAATAATAATACCACTCGAGTACCTCATAATAACAGGGTACCACTGCTCCATTATTTCTGCCCAGTAATACCACGTGTCTCCCGCTAGCTTAAAAAAATATCCAACCTTTACCAAGTACCATATTATTTCTGTCCAGCCACCCAATCTCGGTCGATAACAATTAATCTTGAGAGCCACGAGAGAGAGAGATGAAGCGAATATAAAAATGTCAGAAGTGCACTAAATAATTATACTCAACTCAATTCTTGGTACCTTTGCGTGTGTTATATGGACACCCAAAGTGAAAGACTATCCATTGGTATTTAATATCGTTTAATTATCTATGTTGTATGTAATTATAATAGCTGATTACTTGGGTAAATAAGATTAAAAAATTGTTATGATAATACGATAATTCTTTATATTTTATGATACATATACACATGGGTATGTACTCATTAAGAGTAACTGACGTGTCCTGTTACGCAAGCAAATAACATTATCGTTCGTTTAGCGAAGAAGCTACCGCAGGATGTCAATCCCAGAGGAGTGTTTGCCTGTAACGAACTCGACCTTAAGGAGGTTCAGGTCTATGGATTCGATTACGATTACACCCTCGCGTGCTACAAACCCTCCATGGATTACCTGCTATATAATCTCGGGCGGGAAATGCTCATCAAGAAGTACAAGGTACTTTGACTTTATTAAAAATTCTTTCTTTGTTCCGATCCATCGACGTCTTTCAGATCATTTTCAGGGACTGACTTTTGGCCCTGTTTTCTAGTATCCTGAAGGTATCGGTAATTTGGAATACAGAGAAGGATTCGCAGTACGAGGATTGCATTATGATATCGAAAAAGGACTTTTATTGAAGCTCGATAGTTTCCTGCAGATACAACTTGGTACAGTTTATAGAGGTCTACATCCGGTTCCGAATGATGAGGTCTTGAGACTTTATAAAAATCGGATTATTCCAATTGCCTACGTCGAGGCACCGCATAAACATTCACACGTAAGTGTTTATATTTGTTTTAAAAAATGTAGTGGGTGTTGGGAAATCATTTTTGAAGATATTTTTCATCTCGTGGCCCCTGCACCCTGGGCAACCCGTCATACGGATTACAAAGTATGCATGCAATGTGACGTTCAATTAAATGAATGTGGAATTCACTGGCCTGATATACTCTACTCTCTTTGGGACCTATTTTCAGCCCTTTCGCTTCTTAATTCTCCTTCTTATTTCATACATGGAATTCTACGTATTTACTTATTGGCATGATGACTTATTTTTTTTTTTCCAAATATTCCATCTGGTGGATTGTATCTAACTGAAGTATAAAGTAAGTTATTGGGCGAACTGTGTTTTTAGGTATTTTTTGTAGTCCTATAATCAATTGTGAATGCGCTTGCAGGATGGAGTTAAACGAACGAAAATGGTTCAGCTTGCCGATTTGTTTTCTGTACCTGAAATGGGATTGTTATGTAACGTCACGGAATACTTCCTGAGAAATCATATCGATTATCATCCGGAAATCTTGTTCAGGGATGTCAAAGTAAGTTCCAAAGATATTTGACATCTAAGTGTATAATTAAATAGATATTGATATGCTTATTAATTTTTTTACTAGAATTCAGTCCAGAATTGTCATCCCATAATGCATCAAATGGTTGTCAACAATGTCTCGGAATATTTAGAACAGACCAAAGACCTGGTAAAGTTTTTTGATCGCTTGAAAGCCGCGGATAAAAGAATGTTTCTGGTAACGAATAGTCCCTTCCATTTCGTGTAAGTAATCGAGGAATAAATTGATATTACATAATTGTGTGGATTTATCGTTGCAATAATCAAACAATTTTTTGCAGGGATAAAGGGATGCGTTTCTTGGTTGGTGACGACTGGAAACATTACTTTGATGTTGTGATTGTTCAGGCAAGAAAACCTAGATTTTTTACTGAAGAATCGCGACCCTTGAGGATTTATGATGAAGATAACCAAACGCAATTGTGGGACAGAGTGACTAGTCTTGAGAAGGGTGTGATATATCTTGAGGTATATTCATGTAATATTTATAAAATATATTATACGGTTTAATTTCAAAATTTTCTTAAATTTACAATTGTTTGTCATTTTCAGGGAACAGTAAAGCAGCTTCAGGACATGACTGGTTGGCGAGGTCATCAAGTTCTGTACTTTGGTGATCATCCTTATAGTGATCTGGCTGACGTCACTTTAGAACATGGCTGGAGGACCGGTGCGATCATTAAGGAATTAACAGTCAGTTTAATTAATTGAAAACGAAATTTGATTGAAGTATTAAAATCTAATTGATTATATCTTTAAATTACAGCACGAGATTGAAACTCTAAATGATCGAAGGTTCAAGGAAAATGCAAACTGGCTGCAAATGCTGACTGGATTGATTGAAGATCATCAAGATTATGAGGGACCAGAAGCCCAGGCACAATTGGATGAATGGATGCACGAAAGGGATGAGCTTAGAAATGAGATAAAACGTGTCTTCAATCAACAATTCGGTTCGGTCTTTAGGACATATCACAATCCGACATATTTTTCTAGAAGGTTATTTAGGTTTGCTGACATTTATATGAGTTCCATTACGAATCTCTTAGGTTATTCTCCCAGTCATACCTTTTATCCAAGAAGAGGCGTGATGCCTCATGAATATATTAGTTACTTCGTGTAAATGATAATTATTAAATATTTTTCATTTCTAAAGATTACAAAGAGACTTGATACAGCTGAAACTTAAGATTGCTTAGATTCTTTACTGAGCACAGATAATTGCACTTGTTAACAACTTGTTAAGTCATTAGTCTTGGTGAAACGACAATAAAACTTTCAGACTATTTAGTATCGACACGTTGTGATCTTCTGAAACAGATGTTTCGAAATGATGTGATAAACTAATCAAAAATATTAACATGGTGTTAAAATCACAATGAAAAGAAGGCGTTTATGTGTTCAAGCAACTACAAAATGACATATCACTCATGCTAGCACTTGGTGCTTCCAGAGATGAGCAGGGAAATTGCTAATACTGACTACGTTTACACGGCAGTCTTAGAGGAATCGACTAATCCCAAATATTCCTTACAACTCGAAATGTCTATAATTTCTTAATTCTATTAAATCAGTATTAACTGAACCAGTTTAAGAGCGCCGTGAAAACGTCGTCAGTAGGTCCGTTCATACAAGTATTTTTACATCAGTAGCGTTGTGCATCTCCCTACTCATCTCTGGTTTTTACGTGCTCCGAAGCACTATAGGCGTGTCCGAAAATGAGCCGATTTTCATGGTCCACAAGTTTTATTTCGGTGTCGATGTGCCACCTCAGCGGAAGGTCCTCGAACCAGTTTCTCATTTTGTTTTGTCGAGTATACATATATAGTAATACTACGCGTGATATCTATGAGCTGACTGTTAACAACTAATTTATTGTTTTAATTAATTATTTTAATATTCCAAACACTTCATAATTTATTAATATTCCAATTTGAGCGTAATTTATTATCAACGTTCTAGAATTTAATGTGCTTTCTCCATTCAGTGAAAAAAAGAACGAATAAACGCTGTGATTGTAATTTAACTTAACGATAAAACATTTAATTTACGTTGATTCTTTTTTTTTCATCTCCCGCGATACCCAAAGCAGAGATGAGTAGGGAGGTGCACAACGCTACGGTTTTAGGCGATACCAAAATCATGGCGCTAAATTGTAGCGGCGAGTCCGGGAG